GTATGGTGGATTAATGTTGAAAGAGTATTTTGAAGAGGGATTTAAATGGAGGAGGCTTGCAGCAGCCTTATCAAAGTCCCTTTGATTTAGCGGAGTTGGATTAGACTCTCGGTATACAACTTGAAACAATTCTTTTCTCGTTACAATTAAAACATTTTTTAACCTAAATACTGAGAGACAGGTTTCTCATCATCATTATACACTTGCATATTGATTGTGGTGTTTCTAGTGTATTCATTGTAGATAGGTTTGATTTAACAGAACTGTCAAGGGAAATATCTGCTTAATCATTGAGTGAAGGTATAATTGTAAGTGTGAATAACTTGTCAGGGAATTCTGACAAAATGTATTTTCTCTTATATCTGTAGGATTTTTAGCAGAGATTTCAGCAAAAATCTGTGGGACTTCTGTCCTGCAATATTTAGTTTTAAGCTCTACATAGTCCTATTTCTATATTTTAATACATGACAAGGGAGAACCTAAAGAGAACACTATAAAATTTTATAGAAAACCTACACAATCACACAAGATGCATCACAACAGTCCATCATTTCATATCACTGTAAACAATTTATATCCAGACCTTTTAGGACAGCTGCAAGTGACTCAATTATGCGAGTAAACAAAAGACACGTAAGTAACCGGATTTACTCGTGATTTAGTCCATCACTGAGAGATCTGAAAGTTGTGTTCCCAGTCCTGTTTTCTCTCCTAGGTTAGCAGGGAATGTTGTGCAAGGCACCTTGACAATCCTTGCCAAACAGTAATCTCTGTAGCTGAGTAATCAGGGCTGATGAGCTGTAAAAGGAAATTTATCCAACTCTTTGGCTGTTAGAGGTTGTGGGAGTTTTAGAAGTTCAGTAGCTCAATTAAGGGCACATGGAAGGATTTTTGGCACTAAGGGATCAGTGCTGGGGGTTTGTCTTAGCAGGTGAGGGAGATTTTGACAACTGAGTCCTCAGAGAGGGAGAGGAAAGGCTTGCCCTTGAGAATATGGAAGGACCAAATGACCAGAAGGCAAGGAGTTTTGGCCTGGTGAATGCCAGAAGAACCAAAAAGACTGTGTCAGTCAGGGCTGAGACATACCAAGTATTCTCAGCAAGCAACAAATAAAATACTTTTACCAAAAACTTAAAAAAAAATCTACTCTCAAATGGTGATCAGGTACCAGTTTATCTTTCTAGTTAACAGTATTATATCTTACAGTGGCTTGCACTGTACGGACTGGAGGGTCTGGGGCTGGGCAACCCTGATTACTGAAAGAGGCAGAGCTAAGAGGAATCAGGTGCTTTCCCTATAATGATTACCTGGAAACTGTAGTGATATGATGTTCAGTCAGAGCAGACTCCAGCCAAGTACTGGAATTTGGAATAAATACAAGGTCTATACTTACATTGCTACAGCTGCAGTTGCTCCACTGTGGTGCATCCGTGTCTTAACTATGCCACTCAGGTGATGAATTTTTCACACATCTGAGCAATGCACTTGAGTTGACAGAACTTTTCACCTGGCAGCCCAAGACTAAAGCTAGGAAAGGAAGGGAGTCACTCACCACAGCAGGAGAGATTCTTAGCAAGCAGGGGAAAGACTACATTGCTTTCTAGGCAGAAAGGACTGGTAGTAGGAAAAGAGATGTATTGTCCACATATCTGATAGAAGTCTCCCACTTCTGTACCTTACATTACATCGATTTACAGGGGCTTAACAAGGATTTGAGTTTCTTTTTTGCACTAAGTGGGTGTGAAAGTCAGAAATCACAGCATATGCTTACTTCTGGGCTGTGTCTACACTGGGCCACTTATTCCGGAAAATCAGCCGCTTTTCCGGAATAAGCTGTGAGCTGTCTACACTGGCCCTTGAATTTCCGGAAAAGCAACGATGCTCTACTGTACAAAATCAGCCGCTATTCCGGAAAAACTATTCTGCTCCCGCTCAGGAATAAGTCCTTATTCCGGAACACTGTTCCAGAAAAGGGCCAGTGTAGACAGCCCAGTAGTCTTTTCCGGAAAAAAGCCCCGATCGCGAAAATGGCGATCGGGGCTCTTTTCCGGAAAAGCGTGTCTACATTGGCCACAGACGCTTTTCCGGAAAAAGGGCTTTTCTGGAAAAGCAGCCTGCCAATGTAGACGCTCCTTTTCCGGAAAAATTGAAAACGGAATAGTATTCCGTTTTAAGCAGTTCGGGAAATTCATGCCAGTGTAGACACAGCCCTTTAGTACAGGTTGAACCTCTCAACTCTTGGGCCTGACTGGTGCTGTACCAGAGAATTTGCCAAACCACAGAAGGTCAATATTGTCTAGCAGCATTACCAACACTTCCACTGCTTACTGAGCTCTTAGAAGACATTTAGGGGTAAATTAGAGCTAAATTAGAGAGGTAAATCAGAAAACTGAGAGCCAGGACTGGTGACTGTAAACAAACTTTATGGGACCATGGGAAACTTGGCACAACTATGATAAGTGAACATCTGGCTAACTAAAATGATTCAGGACAACAGATGTTGCCAGACCAGAGAGTCCTGGATTAGAGAGGTTGAACCTGTATTAATAAAGAAGGTAAAGCATGTGATTACCTTTTATACTCTGGCATAAAATGTGTCCCCGCGAACTGACAGATTAGCCTACATAATTATGGTAGACTAAAAGGCAAAATTTAGAACTTGCAACATAATTAAACTATTTGCATATAAAACATTCATACAACATCCCCAGCCAGAGAGCTCTGGGAATTAAGTTAAATAATAAAAACAAATTAAAATATGAGAAAAAGCTGTTCTTTGAAAATGTAAACAAATATACATAAAGGTCCAGTTCTAAAAGGAAGAGAAACAGACCAGAAACATGAATGTAAAGCCAGGAGGCATCAGTTATAGCATCTTTTTAATAGAATGGCTAGTAGTGGTAATTTCTGATAACCTCCAACCTAGGACAGAAAAGACCACAGTTCCAGATGGCATCCCGGGAGAGATCTAGTCACATACAGTGTTGGCGTTCTTTTAAGGATTGGCTTGTTTTGATCTTGTTTTGAAATGAGAGCTTGATTTTTGGCTTATTATGAAAGTCTGGGTGCTTATTTACAGTGTGAAAGGTGGCAACAGTTTCTAAACCAAGCAGTTTGTGTCTATACATACTAGGGGTTTCCATATACATGGCTCTCAGATTCTAATACACATTTGTTAGATGATACCATCTAATCATATCGCTGGATTGTCCCTTTCCCAAGTCACTGGACATCCCAAAGTGCACTACGACAACCACCTCTTTTTCCCTTGCATTAGTAGCTGGGGAGAGAATTAAGGGAGAGCTGCCCAGATTTCCCCAGAATGTACTGATTCAAACACAGATGTTTAGTGTGCTGGGTGTGGAAAGGCCGATAGGCCTGATAGGGTTATGCCAGAAAATATGCTGCTGTGCGAATGCTGCCCTGATCTGTGTTAGCTGTAGCTGGCCAGAGAAGCGTGGTGAAGATACTTCTGCCTGGTGCAGCCAGGATACAGGAAAGGACCCGAAGACTCATAGAATCCTAGGGCTGGAAGAGACCTCACGAGGTCATGGAGTCCAGGAAGGGACAAGGTTACTGGGTTCAATCCCAGCACCATAGGTAACACAGTTTGAACGGGTCTGAATGAAACTAGCGATTAAAAAAAATCAATGGCTGGTGCCGCCCACCAGTCCCCACTACAGCTAAACGCGCCAGCAGCTGCACGGCAAACGGGTACGTTACCTTGCGCCCGCACAGGCTGGGCAACCGTCCTGCGCGCAGCCCCAGCGCGCGCCGCCCAAAGACGCCTCAGGAAACAGGTTCCGTTCCCCCCTCCCCTCCCTGTAAGATGGCCTGCGCCCCCGCCCACTCCGTCCTCACTCTCTCGCGCCCCCTTCCCATCACACTCCTCCTACCGGTCAGACGGAGAAGCCCCGCCCCGTCCCTCTGGGTGCGGGGTTTGAAAGCGGACGAGCCCATATACTGAGAAGCGAGGGGGGAGCGGATCGCGAGGGAAAGGCGCATTCACCCTCGCCCACCGCTTCTC